TGGGCTTTCTTTCTGCATTAGTGAGTGCATATGTAGACCAAGTTCATAACGTCGAGTGAAAAACAACCAAAGAAAAAAAAATCTGCCCGGAGGGATTTTTCTACATCCTTGTCACTGGAGCACAGTCATCACAACTCTAGACAAGGCTTTTTCTCCAAAAACTACCCTACATGCCTTTCCCTCTTGCTCATCAGAGCTGCGGCACAGTCCCCAGCAGCAGCAGTGGCTGCTTGAACCTGGAAATGCAGCTCACAATGTTCATATGGGTGCACATGTTTAAGGGCTGTACAAGTGGACACACAGAATACAGAAGGGTGGTTTTCCATGGCAGAGGTGCTCCTTTGGTCTGTAGCTTTCAAAATGCTATGCAAAGCACAGCATTGGGCCACATTGCACTGGGCCACCTGTACTGCGGGGAAATAAACACAAGGAAGGACAGGTCTCTGCAAGGTGACCAAAAAAATAAATGCTTAGGAGCTTAGAGCACATGGTATTAAACACCACAGTGCTCTTCAGTAGACACAGAGTATAAATTCTAAGAAAGTACAGATTTTGACCAGAACTGGCATTAGAAATACTGAGGCAGTAAATGAAAACATGGGCTATTGTTTACACACTCTCACATCAAACCACACCACTGCTTTTTAAAACAATGCCCACTTCCAACAGAGCCAGCATCAGCAGCTAGGGTAATATCCCTCATGGCTACAGACCAAAGGAAACTCCTGGGGCAATTCTGAGAGATGCACCTTGTATGCCAAACTCCAATTTACATCTACAAGAGTCCAAAGTCCCCTAAATAACCTAATCGTCCCTGGAAGCTGTAACAGTTTCACAGAAAGACAAGATTGGAAGGGAGTACTGGAGGTCCTCAAGGCCTTCCCCAAGCAGGTCCCCAGAAAAACGGGAAGATACTTCCTTCAGGTCAGCAGAACAAAGCCCTGTACACACCACAAGTCATTCAATTCAAAATGAGGCACTGGCACAGAGGCTGCAGATGTGAATGAGTCAGAAAATTGGGCTCTCACTGCGACAGCAAGTTCCCAAGAGCTGCAAGGAAGAGGTAGGCATGATGGTCTCCAGTTAGTTTCTGACATCTGAATATTCTAATTAAGGACTACTTTCCCAAAACATATGCCATCTGAAGAACCTCTTATTAGAGCAGGCATTAGTAATAACATCTTTAAGTCCCTCCATAACCAAGTAAATAATCATTGACAAACCACTCAGCAATTACAACCAAGTGTTATGTATACAGGAGACACTAAGGACTCAGGAGCCAGGGATGAGTCAATTTGGGTGGATTGGAAGGGGAGGGAAAGAGGCAAAACAGTGCAATGTCTTCTTGAACTAACCCTGTTTTCAGTATAGTACTCCAGACCAATAGGTGAATATTTTAACATCACATCCACCCAGAAACTGCCACATAAAGAGATGTCGCCTCATCTCGATAATGACAAAGGGTTGATCAAATATTAACCATGCCAACCACCACAGCTTCTCCAAACACACCTAAATCTAAGCCTTCAGCCAGGCACTCAATTTATTTCAATAGAGGTCAGTGAAAAGATAGGGATATAGTCTACCTGTTGTCTAATAGGAAAACAAACAAAACCAAAAAAAACCACTCAAATCTTGCTGTCAAAACTGTGACCTAATACAAAGCAATACATGAAGCAGCCTTCTTCTCAAAAAGGTCTTTTGTAAGTACAGAAAAGATTTCAGCTTCCCACACTGATGGAAGAAAGAAAGAAAAGGCAGGACTGAACCACTCATATTGTGCCAACCTGAGTCAGAACAGCAAAACAACTGATTGATTCCTTGAGGGCTGAACAATGCAGCACCCATCACCCCAGGCTAAGTAATTAGTAGATCAGGAAATTCATCATTTTTGGGCACAGCATACATAAATTGAACTGGACTAGAAATAAATTACCTCAAGAATGGCAAAGCTGCCACTCTAAACAACATTTGGATAAATGGATATAATGCTACACAGCAGAGTCAGGTGCCTGATGATTCCCAAATGATTAATACGCCTTCTCTTCTGTATGAAAACACAGGATATATACAGGGCAAGAACACTTTTCAGTCATGGAAAGTTTGTTTTGGAACTGCAGAATCTTTTTCCTGCTTCTTCATAAATGATACAAATTCACTTTCAGCAGTACCTCAGCATCTGCTGGAAGCTCTGTCAGCAGAACAGAATAGTGAGAAGCGTCCAGCACTTGTTTTTATCTCGATGATGACTCTAAGGAGGGCACAGTCACAACTGTCACATTCATAAACCCATCATACATTGTGCATATGACTCATCAGCCATGCACACAGGGTGATAAGAGTTCATCAGGCAGCAAAAGTAAAATGCTCCGTTAAAAAAAAGAATAAAAAATAATCCCATGACTTTACATCAAACTTTTCAGGAAGCAGAGCGTCCCAGGTCACAAAACAGCCACAATTAACTGACTTGTAGTACTTGTGAGTACTATCAACATATCAAACATCAGGCATATTCTAGCTTCATATAGAAAATTTTACCTCTAAGAGTATCTTGCACATCATGACTAGCTAAGTGTTTGCCCATATTGAAGCCAAAATCCTAGCAGAATTCTCATGATGAATGCCACTCCAACAACATTTGGACAAATGGATATAATGCTACACAGCAGAATCAGGTGCCTGGCGATTCCCAAATGATTAATATGATTTTTATATATCAAAAGCACATACATTATTAATATAGACTAAATAACTATGCAACTGCATTTAAATATAGAAACTATAAATAAATAAGACACATATGCACATGTAAATCTATACAGCCACACATACCACACACCAGCCCAGCTAGCACACAAGCACCTCTTTCACTTCTACAATCACAAGATCAATAAACAGTTTTGCATAGCTTGGTACAGGGTGTAGCTCATCCGCTACCAAAATCTGCTGTTCCTGCACCTAATGCCAGGCTTCAGGTTTTCCACAAGGGAACGTGTTAAAAGACAAATGTAAGGTTAATGCTAAGAATAACATGCTGAGGAAGCTAATAAATTTTAAATGGGAGGCCAGACCAATAACCCCATGAACTGTAGCAATTTCACTCTGTTTTTTAGCAACCAGATCTAAGTCTGGCCTGGGAAAGTTCGGTCAGTGCATGCAAAGACAGACAGCAAATAAGTGTCACTGCACTTACGGATATCTTTGGTCAAATAAAGTGGGGGGAAAAAAAGTTTCTGCCTTGGCTCTTCAGACATCAGAAGATAATTTTTAACTGAAGAAGAACATACCCAACAGAGATACAAGGCATCCATCCAACTGTATGGCTGTCCTCTAGCCATAGCCAGCTAGAAACTGTTAAAGCAGTTTTGCTGGAAGGCAGAGGTATTTACAATGCTCTTTGGAGACCGCTTTTCTTGGAAATATGAGGGTCACAGTTTGGTGTATTCAATGACAGATTGGAAGTGACCAGCGAACTTGCTGAACATCCAGTTGAAGATACAATCAAACTATACCCATAACTGTGCCTAGGTCAGGGTTGGCAGGACAGTAACAGACAAGAACAGAGCAAATGGGCACATGGGAATGAAGGAAACCGGCCAGCACAGGATGCCTTTAGGGTGTGGGACTGGCAGGTGTGGGGCTTTCCTTTGTTTGAGGGAAAACCATGCTGGACTGGCAGCAAGCCATGAGAAACAGCAGCTAGAGGTTCTACTACCCATTGCAGGATGTACTGCAGATGAGAGAGGGGGCAATGCACATCTCTCCACACTGCTTTGGTGCCACCAGCGTCACCCAAGCCCTGCAGAATGAGGAATTTTTTCCCAGGCCCACCAGAAAGAGGTACAGTTTCCCGAGTGACCATCAGCACAGCCAGAAATGGGGCAACAGCTATGTGGGGCTGGTGTTTTCCCACAGCTGGCAATCCCTGAACACAGGCAGTATCACTGGAACGTTACCAAAAACTGTGGTGGGCGAGGAAGATGAATTAAGCAAAAGAGTTTTCCCACTCAAAAGAATTTATTACTTTTAATTAGGCATTACTCTTTCCCTCCACCTCTTATTCAGAAAGGGAGATTATCCAAACAGCCCAGTGACACCAGAAGGAAATAGGAGCTCCAACAAACACGGAGAAGTAGGGAGCTCTACCAACAGAGCAGGATCTAGTGTGACCCATTCTATACAGGCAGTATGTGCATATATTGTGAACCAGGATGGACAGCACAGGCTGCAAGTCACAGCCACAGGCAAGGAGAGCAGAGGCACACAGGATCCAGATCCCAAACCACCACAGCTCATTTAGGCCACTCCCATCCAGGTACATGGCACACTAGAAATTAAATTTATTTAAAAGTCACCAAGTTTTGGGGGAGGGTGTGTGTGTCTGTGTGTGTGTTTGAAGACAACAGAGATACCAAAGGCTAAACTTGAAAGATTTGGGCTCTCTCAGGGCAAGGTCTGAGTCCCTGACAGTGCTCTCAGGGAAGTGCCAGCACTATGCCTGGGGCTTCAACACAACTCCAAGCTCACCCTTGAAAAGGGCTCACTCTTTGAAAGCAGGTTTTTTTCTCATTTCACTGAAGCAATTATATTTATCAGGTATCATGAGATTTACCAGCTAAATTAGGACTTACCTTTCTTGGCCCTCTCCAAATACCAGCTACATACCTCTCATCCTGAGTGAATGCAGAGAGTCCTTTACAAGAGGGCTTCAGGCTAAAGGAGAAAACTTTCTTGTACACTCAAATCCACCACTACAGCACAGCTCTGGTCACTGTGAATTCTTCCACACCAGATGCAAATACAAATTCAGGAAGCCAAATGTACAGCTGACATTGCAAAACACTGATGGTGGGATGAGAGTTCCATCAACAAGGGCACCAGCACTCCCCTAAATTCCCCCACTCATCCCAATTAGTATAACAAATTCTTTAGAAAAATCAAGACTTCCTCAAAGTTCACAAATTCCTTAGAAAATAATTTCTAAGAAATTACATACTTACATATTTTGATGAATAATGGCACAACAGCTCCTGGGACTCACAGACACAATTATAGAGCAGGTTTCAGAAAAATATGACCTTCCTCTCACCCAAACCTCCCCAGGATAGCTGGGTCTCTGCAAGTCATTTTGAAGCACAAATATTCCCACCTGGACTTAATCAGGCTCATTAAGAGAACTGAGAACAAATTAATTCAATGAGATGGAGTTCTGTTGGAACATCTTAGTCCCTGAGAATTGTCCATTTCATAAAATGATGGACTATTTGCATCATAAAAGCTAACTATGCTAAGAAACTGTGGGAGCTTGAATGCTTAAATTATTTTTTTTATGTGGATTGCAGTATGAGAGGAAAAGGAAGTTGCATACAACTATTTACAATTTTTTTTTACTTTTCTCCATGCAGCCAAAGCAACCAGCTGCAGTTTCTAGCTCACAAGATGCTGTCCTTTGCTTCCATAATGCTGGCAAAATTATGACATATTTTCCTATGTTATTGTAATCCTAACTGGCCGATCTTCACCCTCCCTCTTTTTCCTTTTCTACTCCTACTTCTGGAGTTACAGAAAGTACATTTCCTATAATTTCAAGAAAACTTTGCCAAGGCAGTTAGCATTTGCTTTTCCATCTAGATACCACTATCTGCTTGATCTCCTTGAATTCCACACAGCTTTAACAATTGCTTTTTCCAATGAGCTTTCAGAGCTGAAAGGTGACAACATTCCATGTTGCAAAGTGCTATTGGAAGTGCTCAAGGCCAGGTTGGGGTGGGGTGCAGGGGTCTGGGAAACCTGGTCTAGTGGAAGGTATCCCTGCCTGCAGGGAGGTAGAACTACATGATCTTTAAGGACCCTTGCAATACAAACTATTCTGTGATTCTATAATTCCGTGAAATATTTCTGTGTTCTGAAAAGTTTTGGTAACATGCATTTTAAGAAATAAATCTGTAAATCTCATCTAAACTGCCCATCTCTACAGCAATAACAGTGAAACCATTTCTAATGATCACATTTTATTTGTTCCTACCAACATTAGAACACCTATTCTTTATTAAACTACAAGGGACTGCTCCCCAGATCAGAATTTCAGTATCCCCTAAGACACCTATAGACCATTGGACATTCATTATATATACACTGTCTATGGTACTCCAGTTGCCTCTTTGAGAGCTGGTATTTACCAGTGGTTTGACAGAAACTCTTTCCAAATCTCTCACAATTATTCTTGCAACAATAGGTTGTACTCCCCAGTCAGGCTGTACTTCAGTAATTGCTGTAAGAATAAAGATTTCTTCCACCAAGTCCTGCTAATTCCCCAGGTGCTGAACTTTTGGGACATACTTGTTTCAGTCACAGGAACCCAATTCACAGTTGTCCCTGTGTGCTCATATCTACTGTGGGATGGGAAATCAGAGAGAAACTTTTTAATGAGCTGCTGTCACCTTCTTCTATAGAGCTGGAGATTTCAGGTGAATCATCCCTTTCACTTTTTGTGATTGTTCATTCGTGAAAGTCAAAGAGCTGCATTATTGGAGCTATTCACTGTGCTTTGTTCACAGTCATCATAAAACGTCTACTGCAAATGAGACAACCCTTAAATGACAGCCTTACATTTTGGCTTGCCTCGTATTTGCAGATGGAGATAGACCCCCTAAAAAGAGAGGTTTATCACTTGCTTTGCAATGCTCTTGTAGTTAACAGTTTACTCACAACTTTTTGTGTGATGAATTCTAAATTCCATCTTGAATTTTATTTTGAGATGCAGGTTACCATAAGAAATATTTTGAGTAAACAGGAGCGGTCATGACTTGGTGTTTACATTGACAAAAGCTGTGTACCATTTCCCAAGGACTTGGCTTTTCCAAGCTTCTGGGCTTCTCCTTCCTTGACATTATTTCCCCAGTCTCCCTATCTGCACATGCCCAAATGCTGAACAGCAAAGCTGAAGTAAAATGTTGAAGTTCACCACTAGAAAGTTCAACACAGCTCACTGCATGAGGCTTTGCCTCCCCCTGTGCTGTGGATATCATTTGATAAATACTGGGATTTCAAGTGCATGTGAAGAAACAGCCCCACAGAAAATAACTTAGACTGCGGTTTCACAGGCATTTCAAGTCAATATAAAGTTGCTGATGGTGAAAGCAGAATTCTGAGCCTCACGTAACTCACACACTCCTGCCCTCGATCCTGCTTTTGTTCCACACCCATAAGGCGATGGGATGAGTCCAGATCAGAGCACTAATCTAGCAGAAAACAAATTCCTGTCTTTTTAGAGTTAGTGCTCATTTGGATTGGCAAACCACTGCATTCCTCATCTAATCTGACCTTTAGAAAAAGTACTCTTGTTAACTCTGAATACATCTTATAAGATTTATATTGTGCTGTTCAGCACTCCTAACACAGCAGCAGAACGGGCACTCTGGCTGGAACCTTCCCTGTCTGTGCTGCTGTGCCACTTCTGCAACAGAGTTAAGTGGCATCCAGCACAAGGAACAATTTTCCTTATGGAGGAGCAGGCACAGGACAGGCACAAACTGACCCAGGGCTCTGCTGCCCAAGAAGGAGATATCTGGGCATTCCCTTTGGCAGATGCCCACCCTTCCCACCACACTCCTGGGCAGCAGCAAGGCATCAGCCCAGCTCATGGACACTCCCAGGGCAGGCAGCTGGAAGGGCAGGAGTCTTCTTCTTCCTTCCCCATGCTCCCTCAGCCATGGGAAGAGTAAACCACTGCCCAAAGGCATCAGGAGGAGTACATACTCTACCAAGAAGAGGAAGCCCAATTTCAAATTTGATGGTATTCAGGAGGTTCAGAACTGTACCTGTATGCCCCATACAGGCTCTGAGATCACTGCCAGGGGTCAGAGCCACCTGCCATCCCCACCAGCAAAGCCAGAATTTTAAAGCAATGAAAAATTAAGGTGAAAAATGTTCATCTACAGATGACTCAGAAGGTTCACATATATATGTGAACACAAGAAAGCCTTAATAATAACAAAAAACAGTTTGTGCTCCTCTACAATGAGGCAATGGTTTTCACAATGCTATTCAGCTCCCTCTGAGTACAGTAGAGGGAATCCTTCCCTAACATTTAGGTGCAGTTGAAGGCTAATCAAGATCTCATAAGTTACCAGGCCTCTTACTGTTATTGAATTTCCTTCCATTTCTTATCTTGAGTAGCTATTACGATTCCAGGTATTCAAGTGAACGTCATTCAGAAAAGATAAGGTAATAATCCATTGATATAGGACCCTCGTATTTAGATTTCAGCATATCCAGCTCCCTGTTTATGTTATTAACCATGGTAGAAAAAAGGGGGTTTGAATTACCCTGTATTTCCTTCTCAGATGGTGTACAGAATAGAAATTACTCAGCAGATGTCATCTATCCCTCTTCAGCAACAGAGAGATTTGTCAGAGTAATTTTCCCTGGTTTCCTCAGGAATGCAAATTTTGCAGGGTTCACCCCAAAATGTCTCCATTAACACATCCATTATAGCCCTTTGAAAGGAGAGATGAAATTACTCATATCTGTTTGGCTAAGCTTTGAAACAAAAGAATTCTTTTTAAAGACAAGGCCCTCTAGACCTTAAGGGAGGAATCTCATTCTTCCACCCTCCTCTCCAGCATTGAATTCATTTTAATAAAGGAATTAGACCTATAAACCAATGTTCTTTAGTATATATGCTGCAAAACTTACACAACCTGCTAAATCTATGTCAGTTGATAACAAGTGTTTCCTTTAACACTGAGGACTTCTCAGAAGATGCTGTGCTTTGCCATACAACCATTGCTTGATTTCCAGTAAAATAAACTTTTCAGGGATACAGTCACATTAATTAAACTCTGTGTTGAAATGAGCCTTCCCTTAAATGTTGGTGTGTGTTCAAATGGCACAAAAAGTACTCAAGGTTCATGCGAGTGATTTATAATCACTAATATAAAAATTAAGTTCTAGCATGGGCACGTCAAGAATTTCCCAAAGAACCATGAGGAAACAATGTTTCTTCAAACAAAATAAGTCTACACAGAAGAGATAAACCAACCTACCAGCTTGGTGGGGAGACACCTTGTCGCCCATCCCATCACTCCTGCCTCTCTCCAGGATGTGGGGCTCTTCCTCCTCCTCCTCCTCCCTTGCACCAGCTCTGAAAATCATCAGACTCCTGACTGACCCACTTCAACTCTACTGCAGGAGAAAACAAGTTTTTTTTCTGCCTGGTTAATAAAATACATCAACATCCAGGCAAATGTGGCAAGCACCAGAGCTGGCTGGGGGTGACGGGACCTTTTGGTGGCAGTGGACAGAGCACCAACCCTGGGCCATATGGTGTGAGCAGGAGGCTCTCCCAGAGCTGGCTCAGGGAATGGGTCAGAAAGGGCCAGGGAGGAACAGAGTGGAGAAACTGCCACATCACCTTGAGCAAGCAACTTCCATCCCAACCCTTCATTTACTTCTTCAGCAAATGAGCATTCAGGTTCCTGGCTGTGCTCATTCAGGATGCTCCTGCCCCTCTCTGGACTGGTACCAACCAGCTGCACAGTTGGCAAAAGGGAAGAGACGACTGTATTTCAGATGCAATAAAGCAAGAAGCCCGTTATCTTCACCTTAAAACTCTTGAGGACCTGAGTTTAAGCTGAAGGAAATTAAATTTCAGTTTCCAGAGTCAATGTGCTGCCAAGGTCTGTAGGCTCAGCAGGTAAAACCTGAAATGTCCAATCTTACTGATGACAGAGCACCACTGCCTGAAGCTCCTTCAAATAATATTCACACTCAAGGTCAGCAAGAAAAGACAGACCACATAAAATTATATAATGGAAGTGTTTTAGCTTTAGTGCTATAGTAGCAAAAGAAAAAAAAAAAAAAAAAAAAAAAAAAAAAAGCAAGCATATTTTGACCATAAACTCATAACTGAAATCTCAGGCCTTCTTTGAAAATGAGGTTTTCAAATGCACTCTTTCTTTGGAAAAATCAAAGCTGCACACCTGATGCTGGGATGGAGTGGGGGCAGTAAATGGAAGGAGGGCAATAATTTATTTTTCAAAGTAATGTAGAATTGTACTGGACATTTAAATGATGCTCTGGAAAAGGGCTCATCCCCCACCTGTATTTAGGTGTATTTAACCCCTGGTTTGCTGCATTCTGCATTCAGCAGTACAGCAGAGAGGAGCCAGAGGCCTGTCAGCTCCACCTGTGGTCACCAGCTCCTCCTGTGGCCATCAGCTCCTCCCGTGGCCACCTGCCCCTGTCCACGAGTGGCACAGACCATGCTGCTTCTCCAGGCTCTACACCTGAAATGAAGGTAACGGTG